AGCAGGGGGAGCAGGATGAGCAGGATGAGCAGGGGGAGCAGGATGGGCAGGATGGGCAGGGGGAGCAGGATGGGCAGGGGGAGCAGGGGGAGCAGGATGAGCAGGGGGAGCAGGATGAGAAGGATGAGAAGGATGCAGCCGCAGGCGCTGAGGAGCAGGGTGAGGGGCTGGCAGGTTGAATTAGTGCTGGGAGAGCAGATGCACATTTAAACAAACCATCCGCTCTCAAGAAGAAAACAATGACTTAGTACTTCCTAATTACCATCCTAAAGTCAAGCAATTACTCCTTATTCACACGTGATTACCAAGAATAGCTTAAAATGAATAAACATTTAAAAAAAAAAAAAAGCCTCTTACTAAATTTTCATTAGCCACCACAGTGAGTAAGATATTTACACTCGGCACAGCCCCCGTAAACACAGACAAGACATTACTCAGTAAATGAGTGAATTAGTATTGTGCTAATTGCTAGAAATTATTATCAGGTTACTACAATTCCCGGCAGGATCAACCCCGTTTGTTATTTTTTGAAAAATAAAAGAGAAATCTTAGTGATGTGGTTGATGCAGTTATAAATAATTGAGGGGGCAAGGGGCTGTTCCTCAGTGGAACCAGGAGAGGGGACGGAAATGGTTAAAGCCCACATGGCAGCTCATACTTTATTTCTGAGACCGTGGCTCTGGGGTATGTCTGGGACAGGGCTGTGGGTGTTTTGGGTAGGAACTGGCAGGGGTGGAAGTGATGGAAGTGGGAAAACGCACGAAAGCACAAGAAGATGATTTCAGCTTGTGCATCTCTCTCTTCATCATCCCCAGCCGCCCAAACCCCCGCAGGGACAGCAGGCCCTTTACTGTGGGTGTCACTCCAGGAATCCCATCCCACCAGCCTGCCCACTCCCAAATCCCAGCCTCACCATTTCCTCACCGCCTTCACTGCCTGGGGCTCCAGAGCTGAATTGGCCTTCTGCTCTCTGCCCATCAGCACAGCTTTCTGCCAGGTGGGTTCTACAAAAAGGGAGGCAGCAGAGACAAAAACATATTGGCATACTGGGAAAAATGACAAAAGTCATATGGTGGAGATTTTTTTTGGTGAGCCAGAGGTGCCAAAGAAGGATTTAGGTGGGATTTTGGACTTTGGCAGTGCTGGAGCTTGTAGACTTTTCCAACGGGGCTGATTTAATCCACTCCTGCACCTCCGGGGTTTGGGGAGGTGGAGCCAGCCTGGGTCTGGTGTTGTGCAGACAACCTGGTCTGTGCACTTAAAACCTGTCTTCTCTCCTTGCTAGATCAGTTGGTCTAATAAAAGATTTTATCTGCCCCTATAAAGCGTCTCCTCTGGCAGCCTCAGCCCCGGCACAGCTGCGGCTTTCCCAGAGCAGACACGCCGGTATTGCACTTTGGGCAACACTTCTGCAAAATTGGGTGCTATAAATCCTCCTTGTTTCCCCTCGTGTGAAGCAGGGGATAATGAGCAGGACGTGTGAAGTCTTGATCAGCTGCTGCTGGTGCAGCACACCAGTGTTTTCAGATGAAAAGCAATGAGGGGGAAAAAAAAAGTGGTTATTAGAGCAGAAGCGCATTAGAAATAAAATCTGACTTTCCATTCCGCCCCTGGAGCTTGACATCGCTGCAAGCCATGGTATTTCCATCAGGGCTCTGCTTGTTATTCCATGGTTGGATTTTGAACACCCCACCCAGGAGCTGCTGAGATCCTGGGGTGTTAATCTGGAGGCAGGTGGAGATGGGGATCACTCACCCAATGACATTAATTGAGGTCCTGGGGATGCTGCACTTCGTGTAGGTCTGAGTGGGGTCTATGGGCAGGTGTCAGGAGCTGGTGGCTTGGACAACTCTCCCCAGCACTCAGGAAAAGGCTTTTGCATGGAATTGGAGCCACCCTGCAGGTCTTAATTGATTTATATTAATAAATATAATAGGTAAAACAATATTACAAAGGTTGGGAGGAGAAGAAAGACCCCTATTTTGAGCCTGTCGGGCTCACATGCACAGGCAGAGTGAGGGAGGGTGTTTGCAGACATCTGCAGATGTGTTGGGTCACGGTGCTGCAGCTCAATAAGGACCCTCCTGCCCTCTCAAAGCATGGACACGGGGCTGGAAATGCCTTCGGAAATCGGGTCTGAGCAGCCAAAGTTTTCAGCCTGCTCTTGAAAATAATGAGGGAGATTTAAAAGCAAAAGGAAAGACAGAAAAATGCAGTGATTTGGGTTCTGCCCTCTGTGAACTTGGCCGGCTCTGTGGTGCCAGCTTCACACGCTCGTGCTTGGGACTGCACGATGGAGAAAATGAGAGTTCTTATGGAAAGGGATCCAAGGCCCTGCCTCCCTGTGCTCCCCCTCCCTGCCCTCAGCCTTCACCCTGCTGTACAAAGAGCGGCCACAGCCCCATTCCCCAGCCCTGGAAACGAGCAGGATCCGCTGCAAATGGAAATAACTGGTGTGGTCTGGACCCCAGAGCACCCAGAATGGGCTGGAGGGATGCTGAGCTCGGAAACAACCGGGGGACAGGAGGGGAAAATCAAGGGGGTGCGGGTGAGGAAAGGGATTTACAGAGCTTCCAGGGGTATCAAGGCTTAAATTCCTGCTGCTGCCTGGCTAAATCCTCCACCCTGCCGGACCCTGCTGCTCCTGCCCTGTCGGGAGAGCAGCTGGTGGCTGTGCAGGGAAGGTCCTGCCTGGCTGTGGATGCTGTCCCCACAGACACCCCTCGGCCTGGGAGATGGATGGGGTGAAGGAGCACGATCTCTCCCCAGCTCCTAAGCGTGAGTCAGCAGGATCCCTGCGCTCAGAGCCGGCTGCTCTGGAGAAAGCATTTCCATTTCAGAGAGCTCCCGCTCTGCTCCCCCACTGCCAGAGTTTAGCTTTTGTTTGAAGCCGGGCTCCGGCAGCGGCCGAGTGCTGGAGACAAGAGGCAGGAGCCGCTGGGTTTGATCATTCCCTCCTTTGTCTCTGAAAACGCCTCCCTCGCCCAGAGGAGCCTCGTGTAAAATCCAAAAATCCTCTTCCAAAACATAAGGATGAAGGCCCGGGGGGCTGGGCCCGGGATGTGCTCACAGCAGCCCCTCAGATCATTGGGGTGCGATGGGAGCCTCCAGCAGCCCGGGCTGGGAACTGGGCCCGAACAGCTGCAGGGGCCCAGGAGGGACCACAGCACAGGGAGGAGCTGGAGCTGCTGGAACAAATCCAGAGGGGTCACAGAGATGTTCCAGGGTGGAGCCCCTCTGCTCTGGAGCCAGGCTGGGAGAGCTGGGGGTGCTCACCTGGAGAGGAGAAAGCTCCAGGGAGATCTCAGAGCCCCTTGCAGGGCCTGAAGGGGCTCCAGGAGAGCTGGAGAGGGACTGGAGACAAGGGATGGAGGGACAGGACACAGGGAATGGCTCCCAGTGCCAGAGGGCAGGACTGGATGGGATATTGGGCAGGAATTGTTCCCTGTGAGGGTGGGCAGGCCCTGGCACAGGGTGCCCAGAGCAGCTGGGGCTGCCCCATGATCCCTGGAAGTGCCCAAGGCCAGGCTGGATGGGGCTTGGAGCAACCTGGGACAGTGGAAGGTGTCCCTGCCATGGAGGGAGTGGGATGGGATGAGCTTTAGGTCCCTTCCAATCTGAACCCTTCTGGAATTCTGTGACTTACAGATACAAATGCAGATTTGCAAATGAAAATGCAGATTTGCAAATAGGCATTTTACCCCAAACTCTTGGGCAGCAAAACTTCCCAGATGGCACCAAGCAGATGCGATGAGTCACATGTTCCATCCTCTTCCATTTCCACTCACTAATTCCATTCCCTGGAAGCAAAACCCCAGCAAATGTGGGGATCTGTTCCCAACACCTGGGTGAGGAGAAAACCAGCAAGCTTAAAAGAAAAGTCCAGATTAGTTTGTATTTCCCTATTTATTCCCTTATTGGTTCTGATTTTATTTCTTTTTTTGAAGGAAAATAAGGAACCCATGGAGTTATTTCAGTGTTTTGAAGTGATTCTATTTACTGGGAGCTGAGAGGATTGATTTACACAACACGGGGAATGCAGAGAGGGTGAAGGAGATCCCAGAGCAGAGCAGCAGTGTTTGATTTCAGGGCTGCTTTGCTGTGAATTCTAATGCCAGGAGCAACTTCAATCTGTGGCCAGCTGAGAGTGAAGGTCTGGGAATTGTTTTGCTGAAATTTGGATTAGGAATGAGGGAAAAAAAAGAGCACCTGGCTGTCCAAAAGAGTTTTTGCAACACCGTCTTGGTGAAAAATAATCAAGTTTTAGTTGCTTATGGATTTCCTTCAAGGTGGTGGGGGGATTTTTCTGTTATACCCTTATTTTTTATGCCATTTCTTTTAGAAGCAATGGAGTAGAGGAAGAAAACACCAGAGAACCAAGTTTTTGTTTACAAGGAATTATGAATCAAAGGAAAATCCAACCATTCAATTCATAAATTGTTTATTTAATATGGTGGAAAGTTGCAATCAAGCCAAAACTGCCATTTTTTGGGTTAGTTCACTTTCCAGAACATGAGAAGCTTCTTTTGGGGTCTCTTGATCTCAAATTTCCCTTCCTGAGCTCTCAGGTTTGTTCTCCCAGTATTTTCCCACATCAGCATCTCTCCAAGGGGAAGCCTCACCCCAATCCTACAACATTGTGCTTGGACAGCCCCAATTTGGGAATTCTTTCCAGCCTGAATTCTTGCCTTCCTGAAAGCCTGGCCTGGTGTTTTGTGACCTCTAGGAGAGCAAAGGAAAAGGCCAAACCTGCTGTCAGGAGCACGGCAAAGAGACACCAGGAGCCAGTGGCTTTGCCATTCCTCTTACAGTGCCATTATTTCCTGCAGAGGCTGATTTAGATCCCCAAGACCTCAAAACTCCCCAGATTTTTCCCAAGTTCTACATCAATCATTACACAGCTGCAATATTCCAAATGAAAACCTCAGGCTTCATTCTCCATGCCTTTATTCACCTATTTTTCATTCTCCTGTGGAAAAAGCATTGCTTTCCTGTTGGAGAGTTTGGATTTAGGGGACATGGCAGGGATATCACTCTCCCCTCTGTGATCAGCTGCACAAGGACATCAGGATAGGATTGTCTGAGCAAGGAATCCCAGGAGGTTTTGGGAGATCACACACCCAGCTGGGAATGCTGGAGTAAATGAACAATTTTTAAACCCTTGGAGGTTGGAATTTTTTGGCTCAAAGGTACAAAACTCTCGAGTTTCAGTGCCAGGTGATTCATGAGCAGCTCCCTGGAACCAGAGCCAGCTGGGCAACATTTGCTGGTTGGGAATGGAACTGGTGGGCTTGGAGCAGTAAATAAGGAAAAATAAATTGATGGCAGCTCTGGGCATTTTTTGCTGACTGAGGTAAAGGGGCAAGAAGGGAATAAAACCACAAGTGTCGCAGTGGGGATGTCACTGCCCCTGCCCAGGGGACCTGGGAGTTTTGGGATGCAGAGCAGAGCATGGGGAGGCAGAGGGTTTCACCCAGAGCTGCAGAGCATCCCAGGGGCTCCAAAGGGATTTAGGAGCCATGTCTGGGCAGGGCCTTTCAGTTTGAGGGATCATCCAGAAGATGACAGCAAGATCACAAAATCCTGGAATGGTTTGGGTGGAAGGAATTTTGAGCTCATTCGGTTCCACCCCTGCCATGACAGGGACACCTTCCCCTGTCCCAGCTGCTCCAAGCCCTGTCCAGCCTGGCCTTGGGCACTGCCAGGGATCCAGGGGCAGCCACAGCTGCTCTGGGCCAGGGCCTCCCCACCCTCCCAGGGAACAATTCCTGCCCAATATCCCATCCAGCCCTGCCCTCTGGCACTGGAAAGCTGTTCCCCCTCATCTTGTCCCTCTATGCCTTGTCCCCAGTCCCTCTCCAGCTCTCCTGGAGCCCCTTTAGGCCCTGGCAGGGGCTCTGAGCTCTCCCTGGAGCCTTCTCCTCTCCAGGTGAGCACCCCCAGCTCTCCCAGCCTGGCTCTCTAGGAATGAATCACACCTTGAGCTCCACACTAAAATAATCACAGAATCACGGAATATCCTGAGCTGGAAGAGACCCACAAGGATCTCCAGTCCAACTCCTGACCCTGCCCAGGACACCCCCAAATCCCACCCTGGCCATCCCTGGAGCTCTGTCCAAAGGCTCCTGGAGCTCTGGCAGCCTCGGGGCCGTGCCCATTCCCTGGGGAGCCTGGGCAGTGCCAGCACCCTCTGGGGGAAGAACTTTTCCTTGAGATCCAAAATAACGTCCCCCCCAACACAACTCCAGGCCATTCCCAAATTTGCCAAAGTGGCTCCCAGCCCCCAGCATAGCCCAGGAGCATCCCCAGCCTCCCCTCACACAATGAACTTTGGGGGCTCAGCACCAGCTGTGCAAGGCCCAACGCTGGGGTGATGGTGGCAAAAGCATCACAGCATGAGAAAGAGACAAGAAATAATCAGATTTACAAAAATCTGAAAGCTTTGACTGAGTGTTACTAATAACAATACATTATGGCAGGGGCATGGAAGGGCTCGGGGTATTTATAGACCCAACGAACCCTGGGATCCAGGTGCCACGTTTTGACTCTGTACCACCTTCTCCACTGGATTTTGTTGCTGCCTGAGGATTATTTTGGAAAGAGTTATTATTATCCCTGATTTATTGCTCTGCACTAGGGGGAACTCTCACTTTCCGCCGAGACAATTACGGAACCCTCGCCGAGAGCCTCTTGAAGGAATGGCAGCCTCTGCTCCAGCTCTGATTGCAGACGGGGGAAGTTGCTTTTCCAAGGGTCTGGCTGATTAGGAATCGAGCTCCATCTCCCTGTTACCTGCAGATGGGATTTTTGTCTGTATTAAACTAACAGTTTAAAGCCTCTTAATTATTGCAACGGCAGCTTGCGCTTTGCTGGGGTGGAGGTTTCTTTTTTAGCCTTTCTGGGAAGTTTTCATTTCCTTTTCCTGGCTCTTGCTGTTCTGGGGAGCAGCCATGCAGGCACACCAGGGGAGGCATTTTGCTGCTCCTCTGTTTTGCTCTCCTCCAGCTCACTCCATATTTTTCACATCCCTCACTGCCACTTCCAACCCCACCTTCCCAGGCTGATACAGGCCCATCAAGACTATAATCAGAATAAAGTCAATTAAGGACAGGATTAGACTGAGGGGAGGTTAATAGGACTGTGACAACAGGGCATTTATTCACAGGGCTTTCCCTTCCACCTTTCACTGTCCAAGTCTATTTTCCCCAGCCCATCAAATCCAGTTAATGCTTCACCAAGCACACTGTGAGCTCCACAAGTTAAAACTGGCTGGAAGATAAAAAAAACAACCAAGCCCACCCCAAAAAAGGGGTATCTGGACCCGACAGCTCCTTGTGATGACACTGCCCCTGCCCTGCCATGTGCCAGCTGGTGACACACTGGGAAATCAGGTTTCTGCTCCCTCAAAACCCATTCCAGCTCTTTGCTCTTCTTTTTGCATCCCCTTCTGCCTTTCCTCTCCAAAAGATGTGTAGAAGAAAAGGAAAATCATCATTTTGAGGTCCAGCACACGTGGACATGCAGCAGCCTCCCCTTTCTGGGTGGTGGACCACAGGAGCATGGTGCATCCTGAATGAACCCAGCTGGGAATTTCACCCCTCTGCCCCAAGCCAAGAGGGGTTTTATTTCTGGGAGATTTTGCCACACAATTCCTTGGACATGACCATCCAAGTGCTCTCCAAGCTTCATCTCCCCATCATGGTTGCTCCATGGAGACATCTCCTCCCTGAGCAGCTTCTCCAGCCACCCCTGAGGGACAAGCAGGACACACTCACAAGAGCACGAGTGGTTTCCTCTCCCTGGGTAAGGACAGAAATGCCAGCAAAAACCAGGCAGAATTTGTGGGTGGGAGCAGCTGAGGGTTTGTGGAGTTCTTGTTGGAGCTGTTGGTGTGGATAATGAACACACCTGAAAGTGGAATAACCCTGACTTACAGAACAGCTTGAGAAGGGCTGGGAGTGGAGGGAAGGGGAAGCTCTTCACAAATTCCAGTCTGGTTTTGCTGCTGCCACTGTGATTTTCCCAGCTTGTTGTGCTGAGAACTGGTTGGGGTTCAGTGGTGCTGGCTGCCTCCTCCGGGTGGGAACATCAGCAGATCTCGTGGGGAATGGCTCTTTATTTTGGCTCTCCAGGTCAGAGTCCCAGCAGGGCCCAGCATGGTGGGCATGGTACCAGCCATGGGAATAAAAGGATAGTGCCCAAATCCCAAAGATTGTAAAGTAGCATCACAGCCAGTGTGGAGCCTGGGAAATGTTCCAAACTTGTCAGGAAATACCTATTCTGGGGGGAGGGATGTTTGGACTATGACACACTTGACAATCCTGAACAATTTCAAATCACTGACTCCTGCCCCGAGCATTTATTGGCTCAATCATTTCAATATATCACTTTTTCTGGGATCCTTGGACCTGCATGTGGGCTGGTTTCACATTCCCCTGGGGTTTGCCAGAGGGACCAGATCTGGTCCTGGTGATTGCAAGCAATGGTGGGAAAATTGATTAATGTACATACAAAACCAATCATGAATAAATTGCTCCTATAAATAGTCCTAAATAAACACTCCCCATGCCATGATTGCATCTGCAAGTTATACATAAATAATAATATAGTAACAACAACACTAATAATAATTAATAATAAAAATAATAGCTTATTCTGTGAATAAAAAATTGTGCATTTAATTCTGGAATGAATCATTTCCCCTGAGTTTGCCCAATTCTTCATTTTCAGTTCATCTATAATTTAGATTTCCAAAAAATCTTTCGGAAATGAGTTCCACAGTTCAACAACTATTTTCTTTAAACCTACCCCTTGCTAATTTTCTCTGGTGCCAATTCCATTTTAAATGGAAACTTGCAGAAATGAGGATTATAATTTTGTCCTCTCTACCCCATCCCTGGTTTATAAACTTCCATCAAACCCTCCTCCAGCTGCTTTTTTTTTTCTGAGGAAAGAAACCCAAGTTATTTAATCTCCTTTGGAATGAAACCTTTTGTGCCTTTGCTGGTTGTACCCAGGAGGAATTGATTTCATTAAGCAGTAAAAGTTCGTTTGTCTGGTTTAGCTTAATTCAGTTTCTGAGACACAGGAAAATACTCACCCAGGTGGGGTGAGAGCCACAGGAACTCCCATTTGGTTACTTTGAATTCCCTCTTTTCCTACCAAAAGTCTGGAATATTAAGTTAATATCCTGAACATGAAGAATCCTTCATGGATTTGGGCTTACGTTTTACAAAACTTCCCAAGATTTGATGATCCCATGAGTTTTTCCAGTGGGCTTTGCTGCAGGTTCCATGTTGAGCAGCACCCAAAGCAGTCCCAAGGTCTCCATGTGGTCCTGGATGTGGGGATTTTAACTGAGCCCAGGAAAGCTTGGAAGGAGAGAAAGTGGAGGTGCAGAGGTGGGGAAACCACTCTATAAACACCCACCTTGTTTTGGTGCAGCAGCTGGAGAGTTTCCTCTCTTTTCTGTGCTCATGTTCATGGCTGGGAGAAAGTTCCCCATGGAGAGAAAATGCTGGAAAGAAACCAGAGCCGCTTTCCTGAGAGCTTTGGAGGACTTGGATTTTGGGAAAAAATAGTCTTGTTATTTTCCCATTTCTTCCAGCCTTTGTGTAGGTGTGCTCAAAACAACCTCAAAATGCTGCTGACCTTCGCTGGGTGGTAGGGATGGATTCCTACCCACTCCAGTCTGGGAAAAGAGCAACGAAATCCATCAAAACCTGCTTCAAACCCTTCCAGAATCTCAATTCATTTATCCCCATCACCTTCCCAGGGGCCGCCTGATCCTCCTGCAGCCCAGAGCCGCTGTCACCTCTCGGGGGAGAGCCTCGCCCTCTCCCAGACCTTCTGTGGGAAGAGGCACCATGATCCAATTTCCTCCTAATTGCACTAACAAGGATGAATTAGGACTTTCATCAACAGGGGCGAGCGATCGCTTCGGAGTCAGCCATGGGCGACGGAGCCAGAGATTAAACAAAACTATCATGTTAATGTCTAATAATACAACAGCAAGTGGAAATTAAGCACAAGACAAATCTGCTGCGCCGGCGACATTGGAGAGTTTGTTCTTTAAACACAACGTTATTTTAAAGGCAATGCTATTATTAGGGCCATCTAACTTAATTTCGGAGGCATAATAGAAAAGTAAATGTGCCGCAGTTGCACTTTATGTGCAATTTCGAAAACAAACCCAAAGTGAGGGAGAACGCGGCGTGGGACTGAAATAGCCACTCCAGCTAAATTCCTCTTTGATATACGTTAATTATCTCCAGCAGGGAACGGACAATTTCATTTGGAGCAGTCGGCTGGATGCTCCCCTCAACGGGAACCAATCCCTTGACGTACCATAAAAACAATGGAAGCATCAACAGGGACCCCCCCATCCCCCTGGAACATCCAGAGGGCTTTAACCCCTGTCTTGCCATCATCTTGCTGTGAGCTGAGTGGATTTGTCCCACATTCCTCATCTGGATGTCCATTTTCCTAGAGCAGCTGGGTTTATTTGATAGGACTAGAACTTTTTCCTGCTTTGACCAGTGGGAAAATATTTCCCTCTAGGTCAATGGGATTTGTCCCACCTAAAAATGCCTGAGCAAAGCTTTCCTTGAGCTTTCCTGCAGTGCTGAGAACTCTCCCTGTGCCTGTGCCATGTGATCTTGGGATTGATCCAAGGGTAAAGTGATGCAATCCAATTCCCCTGCATGCATTCTGTTTTTTCCAGCAGTGATATCATTTTTCCCTTTTATTAAGTTGCATAAAAATGGCATCTTAGTGCTCAAACATCTTATCCTGCACTTAAGGGAACGTTTTAGAGGAGTAGCAGCATTGAAAGCTTTCCTTCTTTATTAATCTGGGACATTGCCCCGTGTTTTATGGCAAACAGGGAAACAGAGCAGGTTGGAATGGTCGTGTAGCACTCCTGAGATCTCCTCTTTTGGGGTATCTCCTTTTTGCTGGGTGTCACCTCCCCCAGACCCCAGGGATGGGTTCACAGTGGTGAAAATCCGGCATCAGGGGGGACTTTTGGCTGCTGATTTTTAAGAAGGGGACTTTTTGTGCCTCCTGAGCATCAGGCAAGCAGAACATCGCACAAAAATCACATCGGGAGCTGTCTCCTGCCTGGCCCCCTCCTCAGCCTGCTCTGAGGGTCCCAGGCTGAGCCTAAAATAGCTAAAAAAAAGGAGGTTTCAGGGTGCTTCCCAAGCCATCCTTTCTGTCTCATTGAAGCTGAAATTCCTTCCCTGCTGGCCGGGGCATTCAGCACATATTCAGCACAATATGAAATTCCTGCTCAGATCCCCCCAGAGAGGCTCCTATCGACTGTCCTTTAAATAGAATTAAAATTGACTCGAGACAGATCTGCAAACCTATTGAATTACTCAGTCCACCACCGAGCCTGGACTGGCCCTGCAGGAAGAGATAAAACTGCCTGGAGCAGAAATGAGTGGACATGATGGACATGAGGACATTACATTGGGGACCTCTCGAGATGGACTTGCAGAAATGCATGACCTGGGCAGGGAATAGATACCAGAGCCCTGAGGTGAGGGTTGCAGGAGTGTTGGGGGGCAGTGGGTGAGGGGCAGGAAGAGGGGCTGAGATGCCCCACGGCAACAATGACTCGAGGAAAAATGTTCATCCCCAGGTTCTCCCTCCCCAGCAGCAAATAACAGAATCAGAGAATGATCTGGATTGGAAAGGAGGTGACTTTCTCCTCACCCAGGTGTTGGGTGGCTGAACAGATTCTCCACATTTACTGGGGTTTTGCTTCCAGGGGATGGAATTAGTGAGGGGAAATAGAAGAGGATGGAACATGTGTCCCATTTCATCTGCCTGGAACT